AATCAAGTTAATTAAACAACTATAGTGAGAGCCCCAACGTGTATCACCGAGACGCTGAAGAGTAATTTCTTGATTGAGACCCCGTCCGCTTAATATTTCACAACACTGAGTGATTCAAGAATTTTCAATCTTTGGTTCTCTCGAATAAGGTCACTCCGTTTAGCTGATCCTCCAACAATATTCACCAATCTATGTACTGTAGTGAAGAAAGTTTCAATCTTTGGATGTTTTTGTGCCACAGTTACAAGAGCTAGTTGAAGTTGATGAGCAAAGCAATGAATGTAGTAAGCACTTGGATTTTCTTTCAAAATAAGTGCTTTGAGGCCATTATACTCACCTCGCATGTTACTAGCTCCATCATATCACTGACCTCTCAAATTAGATATGCTTAAGCTATGCGTTGAGAATAATTGATCAATTGCAACCTTAAGTGAGGCAGCTGTGGTATTCAAAACATGAATGACACCAATAAAATGTTCCAATATACACCCATTCTTCACATAACGAATAACAACTGACATTTGCTCTTTCACAGAAATGTCTCGAGATTCATCAACTAAAATTGAGACGAAACTATCACGAACATTTTCGATAATCACATGTAGACATTCAGAAGCAATAGCACTTACAATATTTTTTTGCACTCTTGGTGATGTTAATTTCAAATTTTCAGGTGCATTTGTCAAAGCAACGGCCTTAATCTCAGGATTATGATCACACAACCAATGCAATAGTTCAAAAAAGTTTCCTTGATTGTTTAAATCTTCATATTTATCATATCCACAAAATGCCATCCCTTGTCGTAGAAGAAATCGAACACACTCAATTGAAGCATTTAATCGGATTTGATAATTTGTTCGAGCTTGATGCGATTGTTTAACGAGACAAGATCGAATACTTTGTTCTTGATTCTTGAACAATTCATATTTGACCCAAGCTTGATTGTGTGCACTACTTGAAGCCCCACCACGTTTTCTTATATTCTTTCTTTTTCCAATTTGAGAATCTGCCTTTAACAAATAAACCATCATTCAAACCGAAAAGATAACAATAAAAGCAAAAAACTGCATCCTTTGCTATACTGTATTCCAACCAAGTGGGATGCTCATTATGCCATGAAACACAAAATCGTCGGTCTATTTTACCTATTCTTGTGAGTGGAAATATATGATTGCGAGGCTGACAAGGACCTCTTTGCATATATGCTCTTTGAATCACATCTCGAATATTAACATCATAATTCTGTATTGGAACTCTCAATCCAGCATCAGAGGGAAGCTGTGCAACATCAACATCCCCAACATCTCCAATATCCTCAACATTTCCTCCACTATCCCCAACATTTCCAATATCCTCAACATTTCTAACGTCTCCAATACCCCCAAATCCAACATCAATATCTCCAACGTCTCCAACATCAACATCTCCAACGTCTCCAATACCCTCAACATCAACATCAACATCCCCAACATCGTTTTCATCAAAATGAAAAATCAACAAGATTAGAAATGCCTAAATTAGTTTATACTATTTCATACCTACCAAAAGTCAGACAAAGTTTCAATCTTCCCAAATCAATATTATCAATAATCATTTTACATATAAATAAGTAACAAAGCCCTAAATCAGAAAAGGATCAATTTCCTAATTCAAAGCCCTAAATTAGAAATCCCTAAATTAAATTTATTGGGCAGGAACAGGAATCATAATTGATTAATTGTATTGTAAATAAATCCAAATTTAGAAATAGGAACTAACCAATGCAGAGGCAGCAGAGTAGTTACGGTTATGGAGAATAATTCAAAGAAAAAATTTGAGTAAGTGTAAAGCTTCTAACCTTCAAGTCAGTAGAACTGGAGTCCGCCCCTGACTGATTGTCGGAGAGATTGACGGGTCGCCGGCACTGGCGTCGGCTGTTGCAGTCGCATCTCGCATGGAGGCGGTCCAAGTAGTCGACTGGCCGGCGCGTGGGAAAGACTAAAGAAAGGCAGTCAGGGTCAGGCAGAAACGACTGGCTGCAGGGGCAGGGACGGAGCGGTGGCCGGTGGGTGAGTGCTCTATGCTTCAATGGTGGGAGTCGCTTTGCATTTGTGCGAGAGAAAAGAGTCGAGAGAGAGAGAGAGATACTGCAGAAGCAGGGAAGAAATTGTGAGTGTTGTTTTGACTATTTTGAGTTTTGAACTACTAATATTTAACAAAAAAAAAAAAAAAAAAACCTTAAAAGCTAGGGGGTCAATTGACCCTACATGCCCCCCCTCTCAAATCCGCCAGTGTGTGTAGCATAATCATACCAAGGATGACAACGATCATCTTTCTATTTCAATTGAACAAATAACTATATGATCTCAAGTGGAATGTGGATGTCATTTCTCATATGAAATATCTTTGGATTTTTTCTAGACTAGTGAACAAGAATTTTGTTATCTAAATGCTCGATCTATAGGCAAATACAAAGTGTATATATAAGTTTTGTAATTTTAAGTTTTTGGACCGTTAGCAATGCAGTAGTCGTCTTTTTGATTTAGTATCATGTAGTTGGACTAATTTTCAGGAGTGCAACGATCTTATAATGCATTTTGGGTTGAAAAAATAAAAACAAACCGGCGCTAAATATACATAAATTTCATGCACTATCATATTAACAACATGACGACTTGTTATTTCATCCACAATTGGTAATTAAATCATAAATAAAATCTTTAAAATCTACAATTGATAATTAAATCATAAATTTAAAAAAAAAAAAAAAAAAAAAAAAGCCTTTCTAAGACACGTTTTCAAATTTCAAAATCTATGACAGTATAAAAAAAGTGGGAAAATAGTATAAAAGACTACTATTCGCAATTTCTAGGTAAAGGTTACAACAGTGTATACGGGTATAAAATTAAAGGGTTCCGAAAAGAATTTGATGCTTTCATTTCTGGATTCACTCTCTCATGGCTAGGTATTTACGCTCTATATCTCTATCGTTCTTACTCTGTCGAATCGGAAATTGATAGTTACTTGGATTCTGTTGTTAGGAGGAAAATCGGGTATATCGTTGAAGGTTTTATTTAAATTTTCTGGTCTTGAATAAAGAGTTAGTTCGAGTTTATTTTTGTGTGTTATAAACAATTTATTGATGTAAATGATCAGGTATTTTTCTGCAGAATATGAATAATGGGCAAAAGTTTTAAGTGGGTAAGATTTTGGATCTGGGCAGTTTTGATTTAATCCATTGACAGTGCGAAATTGAGGGTTTATAACTCAATTATTGGCATTGGAGATAGCAACCTCTTAATCTCGTTTAAGGATTATTTAATCCATAAACAGTGCGAAATTGAGGGTTTATAACTCATGTATAGGATTATGTTTATTGCTAATATTGTGCTTGATGTTTTCTACTGATGCTTGACATTGCTTTCTCTAATAACCACTAAATGTGATGGCATTGAACTCCTAATGTAAGAGTGCGTTGTGCTTTCTTTAAGCTGCGTTTTGCGATTGTTGAATAGTTTTGTTTTCAAAGTGAAACTAAAAAGAAAAAACCAACAAAAAACTTCATGTAGCAGAGTCCAAGCCTATTTGGAATACATCTTAGCTTCGTCTTATTCTTGCTGCTTTTACAGTTTTCATTTTTTTTTTTTTTTTAATTTTAACTGTAGATAGTTGTGCCTTTTTCACATATGGATTGCTAGGCTATATGGATATAGTTTCTTGATGAAAAGTTAGGAAAAAATAATGTAATTAATTTTTACAAATTGTAATATTTGAGAATCACATTCATGTATTTTTTACTGCACATCTTCTTGTGATTTTTGGTTTTTTTTTCAATGTATAATAATCTTTAGATGATATTTAAAAAAAATATATATATATATCGATTTGGTTCACCACATAATTTTATAATAGGATACCCATAAATGGTTTTTCGTTACCATTTAGTAGCAAATATTTTAGTCAAATAATTTTTACTTCGTACATTTTTTGATACTATTCACGATTTCCCTTTTTCAGATCTCAAATAGAGCCAAACGCTTATTTGGCATTATTTAACATGCAGCCATTTCAGAAAATATGACAAAATAGGATGTTTTTCTCTCAAATGGTTCACAGGCGTTCCCCTTTCTCATACAAAAAGTTCCATTTATAAAATAATATCATCATTTCCTATCGCTATGAGTTGAAATTGATTCCTTATGAAATGGAGTTATTATATTTATATCTGATAACAATGGCTGTGTATAATGAGACATTTAATCATTTAGATAGAAATGTTGATTTGGGAGTTCTGTTAAGGTATATTATGCTTGATAATAATATCTGATTTGTATAAGACATCAACTTCCAGTCAATTTTAATGAAAGAAAGCAGTCAATGGAGCTTTACATATCTTATTTTCTTAAACAATATCTTCGGATTTTATAGCTTGTTTGTCACTGATTAAGTGATATTGCCTTGAATTCTATAAGACGGGGAAGTAATATGTATCTTGTTGCAAAAATAATGGGGAGAGAAATAAAAAGAAACATCGGAGGAATTTGTTGCATCTTTCTTGTCATACTGGGAGAATTGTAGGGAAAAAGTTTTTACAAACGAGGTTGTGATTTTTGTGAGGATACCTTTTTTCTCTTATGTGAACCCTTTTTGTTCTGCTTATCTAATTTTTCATGTCTTTCATGTTCTGTTAGAAACTTCTCAAGACTCAATTGAGAAATTCATCTTGTATTGCCTTTAGACCGTTTGCTATCCATCAGCATTGCTTCTGCCAGGACTTATAATTTTGACTAATTTATCTTTGGAAACCCTGCAGGCCATCATGGTTGGTTGACAGCAACAGAATTGCTACTAAAATTAGGACTGCTTCAGCTGCATCTGATCCAGCAAAAGTCAATTGGCAAAGCAATCCATCAAAATCTTGCCCAAATTGCCAATATATTATTGACAATAGTGATGTATGATTTGTTTCTCATGTATATTGTTTTGCCTCTTAATTGAATGCGCTCATATACTATACCTTCCCGTTTCGGGTTCTAGTTGAAGCTTGTACTGTCAGCTTCTTTGAAATTGGTTGCTGGACGTATGCTGGATAAGTACATCTGTAAACCCAATATTATAATTCCGCCCAATTACCAGTCTGCCCTCTCACACTCTGCAAGTTAGGGAATAATTTGCTGGGAAGTTGGGAACAAATTCGAAGCCTAAAATTTTGTCATTTTTATGTGGATTGTGAGCATATGAACTTTTTATGGATTGACCATATACTGAACGAAGACTCTTGCTTCGTGTTGATGTCATTTATATGAGCACATTAGTTTTCCACTAATATTGTAGAACAATTTTGGTTATGTTACATAATTGTGCTTTCTGCTGCTGTTTAGGAGGGGTCATTGATCCCGTTTATTAAACGAATTTGTCTTTATTGTGAATTGAATTCATAATTGCTAGACTTTCCAGGATGCTCTCTTCGTTTAGTATATCTGTGTAACTGGACTTTATAACTTTTGTCATCGGATCTACATTTACTTTACAAGTCAGCTTCTAGTTGGAACTGAATTTTGCAACACACGCTAGAATGTTACTTTTTGAAAGCAACGAAGATCCTATAATATGGTCAATTGCAAATTGGACAATAATATGTTTGGCAATAGAGCTATTTTAATACAACTTTTCTCTTTATCAGGTAGAAAATCAGTGGCCAGGTCTACCCAGAGGCGTGAAATTTGACCCTTCTGACCAAGAGGTCATTTATCATTTACTTGCAAAAGTTGGTGTTGGGAATTTGGAACCTCATCCTTTCATTGATGAGTTCATTCCAACAGTTGATGAAGATGATGGCATCTGTTATACGCATCCTCAATATTTACCCGGTACATTAAAAATTTATTGCATTCCCTTTTTGTTTTCTATATTTCCTTACCACTTTTGATTCATAATTCTTCCAGTTGTATTTAGTTTTAAACAATAGAAGTTATTTTCAGGTGTGAAGCAGGATGGAAATGCATCGCACTTCTTCCACAGAGCAATCAAAGCCTATAATACTGGAACACGAAAGCGTCGAAAGATACATGATGTTAATATAGGAGACGTTCGTTGGCATAAGACTGGTAGGACAAAACCAGTCTTCCTGGATGGTGTTCAACGAGGTTGTAAGAAAATTATGGTTCTGTATGTCAGCCCAGTGAGAGGTGGAAAGGCAGAGAAGACTAATTGGGTAATGCATCAGTATCACTTGGGTATGGGGGAAGATGAAAAGGAGGGGGAATATGTTATCTCGAAAGTGTTTCATCAGCAGCAACAAGTTAAACCAAGTGAGAAAAGTGAAGAAGCTGTTCATGAAAGCATTGATGTGATAGTTGCAAAAGTGGATCCCGTCACTCCCAAGTCTGTGACTCCTGAACCTCCTCGCACTGAAAGGAGATTCTCCAATATCAAGACAGGAGAAGAATTTTTCATTCCTAGTGTTCAGGTAAATTTACTTTTGGTTTTTTCAATTAATTATTATCTTCTAGGGGGTTTGCTGTGGTGCGTACTTGGGATATATTGTTCTTTCAATTCCAAAATTGGTTTTGTTTTAGCATCTCAACCAGGAGAATATGGAAGAGGAAGTGGAAACTCCTTCCGAACAGCCCAATAATCCAGATCACAACACAGAGAACTATGGTGATCAAGTGGAAGATAAGAATGGTGATGAGGCTGTTGATGACACGAAATGGTGGGAAAATGAGTCACAATTTCTGTTAAGTTCACAGCAACTTGTGGAAGGCCTATCTTTGTGCGAGGAGTTTCTCCAGAGCCAATCTCCAAATAGAGATGGAAACGAAGAGGGTCAAGGACTGAATCACAAAACCCTTCTATCTGGTTATGCTCGCTTAGGACCAGAGGATCTGAAGAAGGATTTGGAGGAGTGCCAAGGTTTGGCTCATGATCCATTAAATCCCGCAAACATAGAGCTTGATACACCTCCAGATTTCCGGTTGAGCCAACTTGTAAGATCTGCTGCCTCTTTGAATTCTTCTTTTTGGACTTAATAAGTATATTGTTGGCTATAAGCAAGTTATAAAATAGATTATTTTTGTATTAGTCAAAATAAGTTATTTATTTTGTAATAACGTAAGAGTTACCATTTAAGTAACCTTTTTTACTTAGTTTGGGAAAATAAGTCGTGATATTTCTCAAATACTTTTGCAGGAGTTCGAGTCACAGGAAAGTTATATAGCTTGGGGAGGAAACATATCCGGCAAGGCAATTGACTAACATTAGTTGACGTGTCGAAGGACTGCTAATTCGCGAGGGCACATTTTGCAAATCTTATTTAATTGAAGTGACGTTCTGGTGTAACTACTGCTAATTCGCGAGGGCACATTTTGCAAATCATATATAACCTATGCTACTTGCTTCTTTTTGAGGATATCAACTGATTTTGTATTTCGTGCAGTCCACGGTTCTTTTGTTAGACCAAGCTAGTTATATTGTACTTGCTCCCTATATGAGCAGTCAAAATCTGTTCAGTAATCATCCTTCTGTAGTTATGCTTGCACATAAACAATCCAATGCTCATTCTGACATATTGTGTCTAATTATGATAAGTGTACATTCTATGGGTTACATTTTGGTTGACATTGTGGGATTTCATTAAGTGTTGGGTGGGAAAGTGTTTAAAAAAAACTGCCTAATCACGTGTCGTCACATGGCACAATGTCAACCATGATGTCAAGAAGAATGAAGATGTAGCATGATTGATTTATTTATCCTCTAGTATGCCAGAAATGTTGAAGACAACATTTGAATAAATGCTTCGGAACCCCCCTAGCACGACGATAGTGCAAAAGTCGTTCCACAGTCGAGGATAAATGAACAGTATAATCAGGTTCCATCATGGACATTTAGAACTTGTTATGTGCCTTGGATTCGAATGATCAATAAGACCCATGTATTCCGAATCCTGAGAAATTGCATCATAGTTTTTGAAGTGGGGCATTGTTGAATAAATTGTGTCAAACCAGGACAAACGCACATCTTGGATGAGAGGAAAATCCATGAACCTGGACAGTCTTACAGGTCATTAAGGCTGTCTGAAAATGTGGTTCAAATAGACTACTGGGGCATGATTGCTTTAAGAGAACCTGGAATTTAATGCAAAATGTCCCGTAGATTGGAAGTCAGCTGGTTATCATAACACTATGTTTAGTGGTAGTGACTCTGTAGAGGTACATGTACCATATAAAAAGCCGGGTGGAACATGAAATATGGGCCCTCATTATGAGTTTTGAATTAGATGTGAGGCTTGTCTTGTTTAACTGACATGAATCATGATACCTCGTGAAGTCACTGACTCTGATCAATGCTCATTTGGGAGCATACAAAAATTCTGATAAATCATTGTGAATATCCTTTTCACCATTATTTGCTCAAACCTTTGTGATGACTATCGAGTGCGAATCAGAAAACTCAGCCAAGAAGGCTCGGCAGCCGGCTCGATTTTCCAAGATTAGGGAGTGAAGTGAGGGGATGATTCTTGATTTGGTACTCAAATTGACATACTTTTAAATTGTAAGTAAAGTGCATGTTACAGAATTCTCAATGGTCAACATTTACGTCGGATTTTAACACAGGCTTACACAACTGTGTGTTATTGGAAGAAGGTTTTAATGTACTATCATTCACACAACATTATTCTTCTTGCAAAGATAGTAACACAAACACCTAGGTCATGTCATTGGGGATGAGCCATCTAACTTGAGATTTAACACGGGGTCGAGCCATTACTTAGTGAAAATCATTTAACACGGGGTTGAACCATGACGATATTAAAACATATTTTGAATATATAACAAATTTGACCAACATAACATCTAGATAAAATAATTTTAAACCCTGCAATATCATTAATTTTTTTTTAAAAACGTGGGACAAAATAAAATACATCTAGATTTAACTAGAAACAGTTAGAGCCGTAAGCTAACATAATTTCTAGCACTCCTTAAAAGTCTTAAAAAAGAACCTAACCTAGTATGTCAAGGAGGAATTCAAATCGAAATTTTGTATTATCTCATGAGCAGCCACACCCACCTCGCAAGTTTATAAGAAAGTTCTAAAAATGTTGCAAAATCTAGAATTGAGAATAAGACTAAAATCGACCCGTTTCAATCTTAAAATTTAAAATTAATTAAATTATAAATGAAACCATTAAGAATAAATCTCACATCAAAAAAATATGAAACAACTAACTAATAGTTAAGAGCTTGATTATTCTTCTTAATAAGGTTGACATTGGAAGATAAAAAATTTCGAGTTTTATATGGTATTAGAATTTCATTCAACTCAAACAAGCATTTTAATCTATCCAACTAAGATATGGAATAATTAACTAATATATAAATGTTTGAGTTACTCTTCTTAACAATGTTGTCATTTTAAGATAGAACCTCAAGTTTTATTAGAAATTATTTCGACCTAGCAAGTTCGATCTAATTTGATTCAGTTTGACTAGTTCGCACCTAAACGTCTGTATGTGTATGTCCCATCCATCATCCATGGAAGAAAATATAGAAAGATACAGAAATTCATTAAAACTACAACCGTCACACTATATGTACAATCAGGGTTGACAACCACACACATGGGAGGGGGGCCAACGATAAATAAAAAAATTGTGGGCTCCCTCCTGTGAGGAGGTTGTCAATTCCGATTGTACAACTAGCAAAATTCAAACTCGAAACACCTATATGGGGCAAAAATGATAAAATCAGCAAGCAGATTATGTTGTCCAACCCAAATGATGAAAAGAAAATATTTTTAACGGACAAATCTTAGTAATTGGCAATTATGATTCATGGTTAAATCATAACTGTTGGTTGTTTACCCAATATTCTTAACCGTCTACTCTTAATCTCATTATAGTTGGTTGTGGCGCAAGCATTTCAACGGTGTACTCTTATCCCTTGTTTGGTTCTACTAAAAATATAGAATAAAATTTAAGTCAAAGTCAAGATCAACAATTGATATTAATTACATATTTTATGGGACTCACAATTTTTCAATTACACGTTTCTTCATCTTATATTAAAATCTATTAAAATTTTGATGTTTATTTAAATAGAACGGTGGCTAATCTCATTTTCTGTCTCCCTATTGCCTTCCCCGCTCCATCAGTCCATTGCATTTATGGCCCTAATTGTTTCCCATTCTTTCTCCATTAAAATAAAAAATATAACATTATCCATCATATCAAGCCACCAAATTTGAATTTCTATCTTTTGTGTGGGTCATAATGGCTAAATTTTTCATTCTCATTTTTACAAAAATGGGAAACAAACGCCCCCTATATTTGTTGAAAAATATAGATACTTTCTTCATTTCTTCTGTATTTGTGAAAAATTTGAACAAAGAAGAAAAATTGGAAAAACATAGAAGTATTTATAGAAGGAGAAAAAAGTAAAAGAAAAGAAACCCCAAAGTTAGTTGAAATATTGAATTCAAGTGAGAATCTATCGAATTTGAACTATGTTGATGGCAAGATATAAATACCGGTGGAATTTGTATCCTAGTAGTACAAAAAGGTTTTTTAATTCGGCCTTTTTCACTTATCCTTTCTCTTTATATATGCCATTGGACTTGAACTTAACATTCTAATTATGTCAAGTTAGAGTGTTCTAACATAGGGCTATGTGCCGTTACATGTTTAAATGTACTTGATTGGCTAGAGAGTTCATTTGCAACAAAATCATGATGACACCTTAGTCATGTGCCGTATGTCGTCACGTCATTGTCCTGATTGGTTGATTATGACGATGCTACCATCAAGAAAGACAACCTCCTCGATCATGACTTATATTGACAAGGTCTTTATTCGAAGTTTCAAGTTGACATATCTAGCTCTTCAACTTATTTTTTTTTTCTTTTTGATCAAATTAAGATGGACCCTCAATTAATTCAGCGAAAATGTGTGATCGACAACTCCAAACTACTAGTTGGTGTGGTCCAATACGTCATGCATGCAGAAATGGGTAGTTTGGTGTTGCATCATCATTAAATTCATTTTATTTCTCTAATCATGCAAGAATATTGTGTCCATGCATAGTTTCTCTATAATAGTCGTACAATGATTAAAAGATAATTTAAGAGCGATTGTGCTACAGAGCTCGGATTTAAATCAAGGGCTCCAATCCAGGACCGGGGTGAAAACACCTCGGCCGTTGATCTTTTGTATTTGGGGGGCCCGCCATCAAAATCGGGGACAGAGGTGAAGGGAGGGTTCTTCAGCATTTTTCATTTAAAAGAGATGGGGTGGGGTCGTGGTGCACGTGGGGTAGTGGATGAGGCTGCTACTTTGACTTATCACATTGTGTTGGCCGGGTGGGGATGGCTTGGTTATCCTATTTTCTCTTGGCTTAGATGCCACCAAATTCTATGGCCGACAACAGAATTTTGGATTGAGGATTCAACTCTTATCCAGCCTGACACACATTGTCCCTCCCACTGTTTTTGGAATTTAACCGATTCTAACCATTTTGGCGCATCATTTTTCTACTTTATAACATTGAGAGAGAGAGAAGGGCAAAAAATAAATAAAAAAATAAAAAAATAAAAAATAAAAAAAATTGAAATTGCATTATGGATTTCGAACTTATCAGATAGTAGTATTATTTTGACAGTAACATTCAGAACTTTTTAGTTCAGTAGCCAATAGAATTTATAAATGGAACAATTTCTCGATTTGTTCGCATAACTTTAGTTCAAAATATATAAAATGAATGGAAAAAAATACAAAATTTATGTGAAGAACTCTAAAAGACTAAAACCACAGAGAAATCATGGATGGTAATAAAAATTTCACTATGTGAAAAAATGTCACAATCACACAAATTCATACTAAGAAACACCCTCATATTGATAAAATACTAGGGGGGGCCCCATATATAGAGAGACAAAATGATAAGATTTTAATTTCTAATCAATATGGGATTCTAAACAACCCTATTACAAGTAGGGAACTAAAATTCCTATCCAATATGGAATGAGCAAATATAATCATGTTTAAATTGGATAATATCAAGTCAAAATTTTAAGGATAATACTATACGTATATAACGGTGTACATACGGGTTTACAACCCTTTACATGGAGGGAGGCTCACGTACAATTTATAATACGTGAGCCCTCTTTATGTGAAGGGGAGTAAACCCATGTGTACATATTGAGATGTACAAGTATCATTTCTCAAATTCAAATAGTCAATTTGGACTATGGTATGTAAGTGATGGGAAACTTCAAGGGATGTGAAGGTCTTAGTGGAGGTGGTGGCAAGCTTGGAAGAATGGCTAGCCGCCACCGCTATCTAAGGGTTTGAAGTCGAACATTAATGTGGTGGTTTCAATACAAAAATGGAAACTCCATGATTGTTTGCTTTGAATTTCGTCTCCTGCTGCTTATGTTGACTTGCATCAAGTTCATTCAATTGGTGTTTAAAATAATACGTAAGTTATGGAAGAATTTACCCTATAACAAGGATAATTTCATTTATTATCGTTGAATTTTAAATGAAATCTCAATTAAGTTATTCAACATTAATTTGTCTCGATTAGGTCATTTATGTTCAATATTAATCGTTATGTTAGTTCTCATTACTAAACTTAAAGTTCGTACAAAGCAAAATTCGTATGATTGAAGAGAATTCAATATCATAGTTATCAGATCGTTCTGTGGGAGTATTTGATATATTTTTGACTTAATATAATTCAAAATTGAACTCTCAATATGTATTAGCTACTTAGGCCTTAGGTCAATTTTTCTTGATTATGGAAGTCGATCTACATTACATGATTTTATTTTAATGCCATGTGGTGATGATACTAGTATAAATCAATCTTATGCCAGACTCCTTGAGCCACAAGTGCACGTGTATAAATCATTTCTTACTCAAATATCATTTCCATTTGTTAATAATTCAAAGAAAATAAAATTAAATGTGAGGAAAATTGCACCATAATTCCAAAACACTACTTTGTTACAATTTGCTCCCAAACTATTTTTTCTTAGCAATACCATTATCGACCTTTCAATTTTGTAAAGCATTAGTCTATGGTTAACTTATATCTCCCATTTGGTTGCTCACAACACATATTATAATTTTTATGGATTCTGTCATTTCACCGATTCGTACTAAATAACGAGCTAACGAATCCCCTTCTTTTCGCCATTAAACCTCCCAATCAAATTCGTCGTACAAATAATATCGAAATACCAAATCTGATTTCTATATACTCCCCGCAAAGTGGAAGAACCAGAATAGAAGAGCTTGCCCCACCCATGAGTAAATATTTCATAATAGCCTCAGGAGTAAAAAGAGTAAAAACTTAAATTTCAAGGATAAAGAAAAAGGGGGAAAAATTCTAACCTCGACCCTAACCCTAGCAAGTAGCAACTCGTTTTGTCGCACACTTTTTACCGACTGCCTTCCCTTTCATGATTTCTCACCATTGTTTCAGAATACATATTTGGCGAGAGAGAGGAGGAAAATGTATAACACTGTCATCATACTAAAAGTTTAATAACGTCATAAATTCTAAAAATGGTAAAAATATAACTATAGGTTAGAAATTAACAGTAACATGAAAATCTTGATAAGTTTAAAGTCACATCTTAAATACTAATCACTAAAATATCTTTTTCATCCAAGAAATTAATATATTTCTCTGAGAAGAAATATTGAACAAAGAATGCACTTATTGGAAGTCGCTTTCCCATCCTACGCATTGCCTACACGAACAAGGTTTTAACATCATATGGATAGGAACACAAGACGAGTCGTGCTTTGACCAAAAAGATAAGTTTTGCACATAAGGACAAAAGTTTGCTGGGATATTAATTTGGATTAAATTGTTTACAAAATAGGTAATATAAAATTAATTTGTGCTGTTTGGTTGAATACAAGAAACCAAAAACAAGATTATCTTAAGATTAGCGGAACTAATTTGAAATTAATATAGTTTTTCTAGAAAACTTCAATAATGATAAAGACACATGAAATTAAAATCCAACTAACCCTAATTAATTTTATAAGATATAATTAATTAACAAATTTTAATTTCCAAACGGTTGCAAAAGGTTGGAACAAATAGTTTGACTTGTTCATAAAAGGGATTGAATATGTACAATCATAATATTATAGTTTTGATAATTAAATATTAAAATGTTAAAAGGTGATAAGCATATTCTTGCCTTTTGGATTGATAATTATCTTATTAATCATTGTTGAAAACGATAGATTAGTGAATTCGATGAGAAAAGAGTGTGTAATTTTTTAAGATAATTAAAATTTTCTTAAATACTAGCTTACTTCGTAAATTAATATTTCATTGCTCCAAATTTGTCTTTCTAATTTACACAAGAAAATTTTCGAAACTCTTACTTCATTATTGTCGTTATTTATTTTTAACCGCTTCAAACTTTTCATTGGAAAAAAATAATTTTGTAAACATAAAATTGTTAAGACAAAGAAGAAAATAATAAAATAAAGATATAGACCAATATTTTTCTTAACTCTACTTGACTCTTTTACTAGAAGATAAATGATTTCACATTTCCTTAAAAATCCCATTTTTAACCAAAAAATAAAAAAATTCATCTATTCGTATTTGCATTAGGCAAAGTTCACAAAGTGTGTTAAAGGAAAAAATGGAAATTATTAAAAAACCATCAAATAAGTATGCAGAATTGGATCCAATATCAAAATCCCCCTAAAGATGAACAAAGAGAGGAAAAGATAGAAATATTAACAAAATTGCAATCTCCTCTTAAAATTTCCAGAGTATTCCAAATTGTAAAAGTTGGGCAATTGATCACTCAATCAGCTGAATACAAACCAAAAGCTGCTCCTCTCAAAAAATATTTTTCCAATAAATTCAGATCGAAAACTAAATTATCTTTTCAATTGATATTCATAAGCCTAAAAAATTCTCAGTTGAATCCTTCCATCAGCTCACCAGAATCTGAGTTCTTTGAAAGAACCTCCATAAACTGAAAACCCATAACCCCAATTGCTACGAAAATACCATTTAGTTGAAATTCTCTCATTGATCATGTTGTATTTGCTGCCATGTAAAATTAAGCAAACATATATTGCAAAAAATGGAAAAAAATAAATAAATAAAAATTCGACCTTCATCATTTCATCAAGATCAAAAGATTGAATAGGGAAAAAAAGACGACAAGAAAAGAAATTTAACCCATATAATGAAATCAAATCAAAATGATCGTTTCAATTCGAGATATTGGAGGTATACATGAAGCCTTATTAGGCCGGTTAGTACAAAATTGTTAGCTTCTAGCTAATACGTGTAGCGATTGCTATTTACACTCTAAGAAAGTAGGGGGGAAAGTAAGAAAAAAGGTGTAAATTTTTCTTGACTCCGCCAGTGGATGAAGGGTTCGACTCAATCATGATAGCAAAGAAGCATAACCACACATCTCCTTATGATGTAGAGCCTTGCCCTTTGTTCTCTAAGGAGGCCTCCAAGGCCTCTGCTTGAAACCCTTCTTTTGGAGCTTCCCATGTTGGTGTTGTTCATTTTCATGATGTCTTGAATGGAAGAATTTGTGTTCAAGTTTTGCACTAACTGTTGTGAGGATGTTTTGAATGAGTTGAAGGGGTAGGGGTAAAGGGGCTACTTATAGGGAAATTGTTTAAGAGTTTATTGTTTTACTGGTCAGTGGACTTGCGTTCATATCTTTAATTAGTCACTGAAATTTAAAATGTTGAATTTTGATCACTAAATTTCGATCCATGTCTTCGATTGCTCACCAAAATTTAAAATTTTGAGCTTTGATCACTAAATTTTGAAAAATATTGTACAGTACTTGTTGTAAATTTGACATTTTTCAAAGTTCAACATTTATGTTAATGAGTAACGTACAAATTTTTTTAAAATTTAGTGATCAAAACTTAATATTTTAAGCTTCAGTGACAAATCAAAAAAATGAACATAAGTTTAGTGGCCATTGGAGTAATCAATTCATTGTTCAGATGGTGGTCCTGATTAACTTGAATTGGTTAAGTGAAGAGACAAGTATTGGGCGTGAAATGTCGTGCAGTGCCCTCAACAGACAAAACCCTTTTGGGACCCACACCCACTTGGGATTCCACGCCTTCCCGCAACAAGGAAAATGATAGGGCAATCGAAATAAGTCCCCACCAATTAGCAAAATTAATCTTTATTTTCGACAACGTATATTTTTTAACAATGCTATCTAGAATTTGTGGTGCTGGAGGCATCAGTTTATGTGATCACACGTTCACACTTGATATGTTGAATTAAATGAATCGTGTGAAGTTGTATTTAAGTGAATTAATCATTTAATATTATGAAGTAGTTATCGACATTGACGTTTGACAACACTGGTGTTAAATAGTATTACACTAAAATTTTATCACATGTTTGGCTCCAATTTTTTTAAAACTTATCTTTTTAAAACTCATTTTCAACCATACATTGTATGTAATTCACAATTTTCTAATGCATATTTCATTAATTTTTATCAAAATATACTAAAAATCTAATTTTTTAGCCAAACCAAATAAAGGTTTAAGTCATTTTATCTTCTATTTAAGAGTTTAAACTTTTAAATAAGATTATTCGATAACGCATTTAGTGGGCTATCATAATTTTCAACTATAATATATTGTACACTAAGATATATTCCGAATAATCGTTCTTTTAATTTAAGCTCAATTTATTACCTCTACTATATTGATTTCATGCTCCTGATTCTGTGCCATTCTGGAGTGAATCCTGGTTTATGTAGGCTATACCCACCAACATCATGGGTCGACCAAGACTTGAATGAGGTACCACATTTGCTTAGTTTATGCCCTACATTATGTTTGATGATGAGATTATAATTAATGTGTTTGGACGTATTCTTTCTACTTATTTTTGTGACAATTCTGCTCATTTATTTTTGTTGGCTCCACCGAAACAAGGAATAAGACAACTGAGGAGGGGAGGGCCAGTTGAATCCTACGCATCATTGCCAACTTATCTAGCTTTTATACAGTTCAATGACTCAAATTGATCTCATCTTAATTGCTTTTGACTAGATGTTTACGTTATTTATTTTTTTTTTTTAAATACAAAATTTGGTAACTGACAATTGAAATGGAAGAGTCCATGAAATATGCTTGTTGAAATTCCGGATATCAAATTGCCTTTTCGCTTTCAAATTTTTCGAATTCTCACTAAGATTCTATTTAAATTTTGAATTTTGCGGTCATTACAAACATCAGAGAAAAATGTACGAAAGTATATTTCGACCAAAAGATTTTGAAGACAAACAATGTGAACGAGTGTCGAGGAATCCCACAGGCACGATATCTTGGGTTACTAGAATTTGATGCTAAATGCCGAAACAAATGTATCAAAATAAGAGTCAAACCCCCACGTGAATTACAAATTGCCGTGCCAAATATATTCTCTCCTTCAAAACCATACAAAATTATGAACCCAAGAAACTTCAATTTCTAGGCTGTGACCATAAATAAAATTTTGTACTCTATCTTCTGTCTACAACTTTTGCAGATATTAATTTAGTACAAAAAGCTCAAAACCCAATTAAATGATTGATTAAATTATATTAAAAAAATAATAAATAAAGCAATGCAACCCACTTGCTTCATCTTGTAATCCTCCCATTTAACTAATGACACGAACTTCCATAACTTAATTCTAATAAAATCACATTATTTTTTCTTATGTTTCCTACCTTACACGAAGCAACAAGGCATCTACTGTACTTTCTTTGAGTATGCAAAATTAATAACGAATGACGACTCATCAAGTTTGACGATATGAAATGTAGAAAAAAAAAGTTCTTATATCAGTGCTAAAATAATCTAACAAACAATTGAAGTTCCAACCTCCATCTTTAAAAAGTCGATCTTATTTATTAAGGGTAGCTCAAACCCTTATTTATTTCAATACTTAGTTGTTGCGGGATTTACCCTATCTCATATGGGTTTCATAATTATAGGAATTGGTTCTATCACCGATACATGGCTCAATGGAGCCCTTTTACAAATAATTTCTCATGAATTTATTGATGCTGCACCTTTTTTTCTTGGTAGGAACGACTTGTGATAGAATACGTCTTGTTTATCTTGACGAAATGGGTGGAATAGCTATCCCTTTAACACTATTGAATGATAATGATCATCTGATCACAATATTTCTTTATATTAATCCATGCAATTTTTATACCAACTTTTAGAAGTATTTTTTTATGGGTTTGCACAATTAAACATAATGCAACACAGATTATTTACACACATAATTAATTACGGATGATGGGCATAGGACACCTCAAGTCTCAAGACATGGAAACTCTTATTAATTATATCAAGAAATATTCATATTGCTAATTAATTAAACTATTAATTTCATGATTAGTTCTACGGAACTAATTAAAAATGCAGGTCACACGTGAAGGTCGCGTTATTTATAAGTTGCTGCTCCTGATATTCTCGACATTGTCAAATTATTTTTGTTTATTCCTAAGGTTTCAATCTTATTATACTGATAGCTGGTCCATATGTGTACCTATTATTCGATTATTTAAGGTCTAGGCTCTTCACTAAAACTTAAGAAACTCAAGATTGACCAAGATTTCCTCCGAGATTAAGTCAAATGAAACAAGCCAGGTTTCACAGGTAGTAATATTAATTTTTGCACCAGACTCCAGCTGGGTTTGCTTGGAAGTGTGTCTTGATTAAAAGAAAAAATCATTTTCGAAGAAGAAACTATGCTGTTACAGTTACGACATCTGTATTTCTCTCTGCCTCCTGATTATTATAACTATGGAGTGGTGTAAATGGATTGAGTTTGAATGTTTTCAGCTAGAAACGTGAAATGTCTTAATTATAAGCCTAGCAGATAATTTCTACAATCAATTACCGAGTATTTACTCCTTAATTAACGTCTTAATTACTCCAACGGCCACAAGTATGTAGCATAATTAATGAGATTTTTTTTAATGATAGATTATAAGTGAATTGTACGCTGTGATTAGCCATGCACAGTTGTATCTTATGTGCGTAACAATTTTCTATAATAATTACTTATTGACAGGAATGTGCTTTGGTGTACTAATAATAATTACTTATTGGCAATTAATTTGCATTTCTTGGCATTAATCGTGTTTATTACACTAGGTATAGAACAGCAACATTTTTGCTGGTTGCCAGATAACAGTAGTATAATATTTTAATTGAATGTATCACAAAACTCCTTTCTTTTCTTTTTTCGGTTTTTTTTTTATTTTTTACTTTTTGTCTCAGAAATAAATATCTCAATAGAAGTGCCTCAACATCACATTTGAGATTCAAAGTATGTTGCTGACATGGAAATTCAGTGATCGTTCCTGGTTAACTTGAACGTCAAAGTTGTTGGAAATCGTAACGAGGGGTGGACAATCAGGACAAGGTGGTTAGGGACATGTGGACTAACTACTCTTAACACACTTATTTTTTGAAATGAATCTTCGGACCTTCTGAAACAAATGGGCCCCCCTTCTCCCAAACTGGACTCACTCAGATAGTGAACAGGACAACCTGGAATGGGAAATCGACTTCGTCAATGTGATTCCGATAGTCCAAGTTGTAAGAAATTGATCGAATTGGAAAATAGATGTCACTATTGTTGCTAACTTTGTGTGCTGCTATACCAAGTGATTTTGCTTGATCTTGATCCCACATTGGTGTGGTATTATTGCCTTTCATTTGTGTTACGTGTTTGCATACTTGGACAACCCATCGGGGCCCACGGTCAATTCATGCCGAACCATGTGGCACTCAAATCGAGATGATTTGCATAGCCGAGACCCATAAACCGAGCTTCACAGAAGCCCTAGCCCATATATAACGAGGCCCTTCTATCATTGCCTCTTGAGAGCTTCCAAAACCCATATGCCGAGGCCATCTGAAGGTGGACGAGGCCCTATTGGCTGAAACTCTGTAGTCGAGGTGGGAGCCTCCGAAACACAAAGCAATATCTTCCATAGACACCTCTCTCAAGAAATATTTTCTGCACAAAGATCTTACTTGAATGATTAATAGGACGTTTGTCATGAGTGTAAATGTTAAGTCTTGTCACTAGTAAAGGCGGCTCTGTCAATCAATAAATGTATAGCAGGCTAGGTGCGGCTGATACCTACAATTTGACATGTAACTCAACAGGATGAGGCCACGTGTACCCCGAACCAAAGGTCACGATCTAACTTGTGACACTATAAATACTCCCCCATGTACCCCATACAAAGGCTAATGCAAGAATCAATACAAGAAAATATACTTTACTCAACTCCCTCTCTCTTATTATCTTGCAACACAAACGAGTTCATATAAATTTGGATACATGTTTATAAATATCGATTGGTAATTATTGTACAATCGGTCAATGAACATCCTGTCGGATTCCGAACGCTCTCGTCATGTGCCGTTGAGCTACTCTGACGCCCTTGATCTGTCCGTTCTAGACCGTCCACATATCTTAACATGTTGGACTTTCGCTCACGGGTGCACGAATGGGTCCGGCATCTGTTGGCAACATATTCTGGAGTCAACAATTTGTACTTGATCCTAATTAAT